ATTTTGGTTGGCTAATAGCAAGGGAGATATGTGTGGAGATTGGGACTCCGTGTATCTCATGATTAAAAACAAACATAATGAGATACAAACAACATTTGGTCGAATTATAATGGTATTGAAACATCGATTTAAAGACAACATTCTTTATTCTCAATTGATCGGAAATATGTCTCGACCATGGTTGAACTATATTTTTCACGAGGCCAAACGAGCTGAAACTGTAGGTTTCGATAGTGCAAAGTGTGGTTGCACTATTGTGAAAACTTATGGTCTTCTGTGTGCTTGTGTTATTGCTACAAAGTTGAAACTAGGTGAGCTAATAAGAATTGATGAATTTTGCCCTCATTGGAAAAGACTTAGTTTTGATGATGATGGTTGCATGGAAGGAGGTAAACCGAATATTTCTATTTTGACCGAATGGGAAGCGATACAAGAGAGATCCTCAAAGGCCGATGGCAACATGAAACTCCACATCAAAGAACAATTGAGGAAGATTGCATATCCCGAAACAACCAACATGAAACCGCCTTCTCAACCAGTAAAGGCAAAAGGTGCTCCGAAGAAAATGAAGCCTACACCAAATGACAACTCGACTACACAGTCTCCTTCTTATTGTGAGCATGTTGACAAACTTTATCCCGATTCACCAACTCCTAAATCTCAAAAAAAATGTCATGAAAGGAGCCCGCATAAGCAAACTACCTCCGACCCTGATTCCACCAAAAATTTCATTCATCAACGAAATGCCGGTTTTTATGCACAAATACATCGACCGTATCGTCAATGTTGAAGGGGATGGTAATTGCGGTTACCGAGTCATTTCGACTTTGCTTGGTAAAGGAGAGGATATTCATGCGTTTGTCAGTCATCAATTAATCCAAGAGTTGAATACGCATAAAGAATCGTACACGTTGTTGTATGGAAAGAAAGAAAAATTCGATGCAGTTTATGAATCTCTTGTTCCTTGCTTGAGTGGTTCGGCACCGGTGTCGAAATGGATGACCTTCCCTGATATGAGCCATCTTATTGCATGTATATGATAGGGTGTGCATTGAATTGACGTGATACGGGTTTTCGGAAACCTTTTTTCCACTCCGCACCGCACCACCTCAAAATTCAATTGATCGCATCATGTGTATTGGATGGCTTGAAAAATCAAGACATTTTGTACAAGTTTACTTGAAACTGGGATGCCCCATACCACCTACATCATTGGAATGGAGGACTCATTCAACCGAAAATGTCGAGACGTGGCCGAATTGTTTTGTTGAAAGGATGCACGAATTCGAAAGATTGAACAACATTGAAAAATAATCGAATGTGGAAAAGTCCAAAGGTGTACCACCAATAGATTTAGCCAACAACACTTGTTTTGATTCGTTTTGAATTATTGTATAATCAGACGACTAATTGTAAAAATTTTGAAGTGCAAAATAGTCACTTTTTATTCTTATGCCTTATTTATGCACTTATGCCTTTTATTTGTCTATAATGATGTGCTTCTATATTGAGTTCTGGTTTTAAAATGTAGCAGGGAAAGTTCTGGATATGCATTTACGGAAGGTTCTTAATTTTGTAGTTCCAGGGAAAGTTCCAGAGATACACCTCTGAAACCAATAATTATGGGGTCCTTCTGTGGATGTAGCTCCAAAAAAAAAATTGACAGAATATTGTTGGTCCATATTCACCTAGATTTTATATAAACTTGGGGTTTCATTTGTTATCATTCACACAAATACAAAAATTTCTCAATTGTTTCAAATCAAGCTTCATTGGTATGTCGCAAGTGTCTCCTTTTCTGACGACAAAACACCCGGGAGGACGTTTAAGCTCATGGATCTCACCCCTCTCGCCGATATCATAGACGAGATCCAATGTCGTCTACCTTACAATGACAAATGAAAGGTTGTGAAGCTTGAGTACCGTTCACCTTCAGTTGACAATGAAGATAATGTTGTTTACAACAAGTTTGGGCTCAAGAATCAAGACGATGTTAGAGTGATGTGGGGAACGTATTTCGGTTTCGAAGAGAAAATTCCGCTCGAGTTGGAGGCAACGGTCCGAAGAACGGTCTATGACATCTTAGAGATGTGCAAGCGTCCATCGAACTATTGAAATTTAGTATTTAAATTTCTGTCGAAATCATCAACGTAATGCCGATTTTATTTTATAAATGTTGATTTTATCGTTGCAATGGTGATTTTCTAGTTTACTGATTCTGAGTTTCTTCCTTATATACGCATACAGAAATATTCCATAGATGAATCTACATAATTAATTATAAAAAACTGAAAAAATATGCATCTGGAGATACATCTCCGAAAGCAGGAGGACATCTTTATCAATGCGCATAGTGCCTAAGAAGTCCAAAGGGTGCCCATAAAAAATTCTCATTTTCTTTTTTTACAAAGTTTAAAACTTATCAAACTAATTACAATATACTTAATGACACATGGTTCTTAGATTTATTATACAACTTCAATGTATATACTAGTAAAAGACCCGTGCGTCCGCACGGGTCCATTAGTTGTAATTGGTAAATAATATATTTGTGTGTACATATAAACATGAAAAGATAAATGTAATTGTGTAATGAACCCTAATAATATAAAATAAATAAAATTTTAAAATTAAAAAAAAAGGAAAAATAAAAAGAAACAAAAAATGAAATTATGTTAATATGATCTTCATAAATTTCATGGTGTCGTATCTTTTAAAAAAACCAAAGATCTCTCTTGTACCAATAAGTACGGCTATACTTTGGGAAAAAAATGAAAAGAACAAATGATTTGCAATATATAAGCACAAAATATAGTATTTAAATTGAGTAAGAATGTCAAAGAAAAAAGGAAAGACACAAAAAATAAAATAAAAGAATACAAGCGTGTTATAATCATTCATGCTATTAGGTAGATTGTGAACCATCAATCTCCTTAGTGAACAAAAGTCTTCAACCTGTATAGAAAAACATATATATTAGATATAAACTCACAATACCATTTGTAATAGACAATAAATGATACAAAATAGTCTGCATTAAAATACCTATGAGATATTATGAAAAACTTCCTTGAAGACAACATTAGTGGTAGTATGCATAACCTGTTTATGTTTGTCATGAATCAAAATCTTAAGACCTTCCTTAGTCCTAACTCTAGAAAGTGAGACATACAATTGACAATGACTAAAAACATCTTTTGGTAAGTATAAACCAACGTTGTCTAAAGATTGACCCTGAGATTTATTAATTGTCATAGCAAAAGAAACAATAATTGGAAATTGTCTTCTCACCAATTTAAAAGGCCATGGTGATTGTGAGGGAGATAAAGACATCCTTGGAGTATAAATGATGTTACCAATATTTTTTCCAGAAATGATCTTAGCTTCAATGACATGATTAGCAAGCCTTGTTATTGTGAGTCGTGTACCGTTGCATAATCCTTCAGATTGATCCAAGTTACGCAACAACATAATTGTGGTCCCAATTTTTAACTTTATTAAATGGTTAGGCAATCCAGATGTTTTAAGAGCATTCAAGAATTCAGGTGTCAAGTGTTCAAATGCATCAAAGTCAGTTGCTTCAGATCTATCTACATAATCTCTACTGAAGTATTCTTTTTCTTCCCCTTTAAAATATAAAAGAAAAACGTATTCGCAGTCAATGATAAATAATAGAAATACACAGGTTACTAAATTAAATATAGTATGAGAGCATGAATAGTACCTGGCAAAAAACTTGTGATGTATTCATTGATATCATCTACTACTTCAATAGTTGAAGCCAGAATTGCACGACTTTGAAGGTAATTGGAATCATGGTAGTTATGAATGAGATCGGAGTAGGTACTTTCAACAATAGCCTTCACAGGATCTGTAAAATTAGAAATAAGAAACTCTTGGGGAATTGTAATCTCAACATAACCATCATTTGGTTCAGACATTGTCCCATCTCCAATTTTTAAGATCCACTCAGGAAAAATTTGAATATCCTCTGTGGTACTTGTCGTTGCTCCATTTTGCAAGCGCATATTTTTTGTAAGTTTGACTACCTTGCAATGATCCCAAATATATGAAGCATTGATGGTTGCATGAATAATATCTAATCTAGTACCTCTTGGTATTACAGGAAGAATTTTTTTGAAATCACCACCAAAAACAACAACCCTCCCTCCAAAAATGTTTTGGGATGCTTCTCCATTAATACTCATAATATCCTTCAATGATTTGTCAAGAGCCTGAAAGCAAAATTTGTTTGCCATTGGAGCTTCATCCCATATGATTAGATCAGTCAACTTTAATAGATCAGTAAGATCATCTTTTTTGTCAATGTTGCAAATGGAAGATTCCAAAGTAGGGACTGGAATCTTAAATTTAGAATGAGTTATTCTTCCACCTGGTAATAATAAACTCGCAATCCCACTTGAGGCAACAGGCAACACAATTTTTCTTTTAGCCCGAAGTGCAGCTGACAAAGTGTTCCACATAAATGTTTTACCTGTTCCACCATATCCATATAAAAAAACACACCACCTTTTTTATTTTCTACAACTTCCATTATTTCTTCAAAAATATTTCTCTGCTCATCTTTAAAAAACCATAATCCAAAAAAAAAAAATTAGTATGACCAACATCAATATTAATTGATTAAATGAAATAAATGAAATTTGATGTTACCTGTAAGAGATGCGTGTAAATTTAAATATACTTGTTGTTGAGCAATCAGATCATATTGTCTCTCATCATAAATAAGCCTATTTCCAAGAAAGGAATTTACAAAGTCTTTCGGATATGGCATTGGATTGTAGTCCTACAAAGTCTTCTTGTTTTTTTTCAATTGTGTTTCAATCGCCATAAGTGTCAGTTGTTTTATTTCTTCGTCCGTAAGTATCAATTATATGGTAATAAAAAATCATATTTGAAACACCTAATATTAAAGTAAAGATATATAAAGTAGAAACCCATGAAAGAATTAATGTACCTGGATTTCCCGTCAATATACATTATTCATAAAGAATACCATCTGATAAGTAGAACCATGAACTATTCCAAACATGTTCGGGTCTATTCATGCATGATGATAACAACATTGTAACAAACAATTTTCGTAAAAATACATCAGAACCCCAAACATGGGCCTCCTTAATTTCCTCAATAAATTCTCTATCATCTTGTAAGAATCCCATAGCAAAGCATGCTTCTCTAAAAGTGTTGTATTGTACACCATCAACAAATTTGATATCTTTGTAACATAATGGCCCCTTTTTGAAAGTCAACATCATCCGTAGATAAAATAATTCACATGTGCTTTGAGGAACCCAAATAAGACGACCAATGGTATACCCTTTTTTCCTAGGTTTCCAACTCCTACTTGGTTTATGGTAAACAAACTTAGAGACAAAATCACCATATGTTAACAATCGTGCATCTTCAAATTTTTTGTTTGCCTCAAAACATGCTGTAAACATTGATTCGGTTACACTTGGTTTGAGTAAAACATTCCCAATTTGCTCGAAGTCTTTATAGTATACATAATTTTCTCCTTCTAAGTGAAAATACAATCTTTCAACAGCTAGCTTCCTACCGTGAATAGAATACACAAATATCCTCCAACATGCTTCACTTGGGGAGATGTATCGACAATCTATATATTGCTTGATTTCATCAATGTGATTTTTGTTAGCACAAGTAGTGTTGTCAGAAGTTTGAATAACAACAGAAATGCGATCAGAACCTTTATTTATGTATTTGAACAGGTACTTGATAGAAGTACTTTGATTGCACCATTCCATGTTGATATGGGCTTCATACTTTAACAATAAACTTGGATTGTGAGGAACCACTAATCAGTGCATCTTTATGCACGTTCTCCTATATTTTTACTTAGACATTTCTTTATTTTATTTTGATTATTCTTATGTTTTATTATGTTTTTATATTTTATTTTATTTTTGGTCTAATTTGATTTTCGCACTTTATTTTTCAACTTTAGCAGTCTACACGGAAACGATCATAACTAGAGTTCCGGGAATCCGTTTGAGGCGTTCTAAAAATCTCCGGAAAGTTAAGAGAGAGAGAGAGAGAGCTACGACTTTCGTGTTGGAGTCAAAGTCAAATTCGAAGCACATTTTCCCAGAATATTCGTTGAGGTTACAACATTAGGAATTTGTTTTAGTTTTTGGTCATGTTTTGGGCCTGGGTGATGTTTTCCACCCAGTTGGGTTTTGAACTTATTTTTCTTTTTAGGGGAAACTCGTGTTACTGTTCATTCATTCACTATTCACGAAAAAAAGTTAAAGTTTTGTAAGAATCTTATGGAGAACTAATCACTCTGAGTCGGTCTACCGTAATTCAGGTTCCAACACTTGAGATTGTTATAATATTATTATTTGTTTAATTCCGTTCAATGATTTTATACTCTTGTATGCTTAATTCAATTGCATGAAATTTATTGATTTAATTTGGTTGATTGTATGATCCTAACATAGACACTTTTACGTTTGCTTAATTCATTTTTGTGTCTGAATAATCATGTTTGCTTAATTCATGAAGATTTATACCGTTTGCTTAATTCGGACAATAGGATCGTATATCTTGCAAACCTTATCGCGCTTGTCGTTAAGTTTGTATCCAGATAGGAATGAACACTTAGAATATTAAAATTATAACAATCGATGATAGTGGGAACCGAATCGGTAGATTGACTTATTTCATAATCACTTATTTCACAACAGCTTTTTTTTTTCTTTCCAATAATCACTTTTATTAATTACTCTTACTCATTCGAACACGACCAACCCCCCCCCCCCCCTTTATTCGATTAGTAATAATCAAGAATCCTTGAGAACGATATTCCAAGTTACTGTCGTTGTACTACATTTTTACAAAAACACTCGTTTTCATCCGCGCGGGACAGCGGATCAACCACATGACCATTGTTAAGGATGGTTCCATTTTTCTCAATTGTGTGCCCATTGTCTCTTTTCCTATACACTGGATAGCCATCTTGATCCACAATTGTTGAAGGTTGGAATTTTTTTGGGTAAAACTTTGAGCATTTCATGTCTTTCATGCAAGGTGAATTCCGATTTACCAAACCACAAGGACCATGAACCATGTGAGTTTTAACTAAATTTTACAACTTTGGGTCTTTCAAAGGATCAGGCACTTCAGCACTAATGATTTTGTCAATATCTTCAGGTGTTGGATACTTGTTAGAAGGATGCAAAAATATCAAAATATGTGCATGTGGCAACCCTCTCTTTCGAAACTCAATGGTGTACATATCTAGAAAATAATGAAAAGAAAGACTTAGAATTAGCATAAAGTAAATAAAATTAAAGTAAAGTTGAGAAATATAACTTACATGCAAGCACCTTGCCTAACACACCCTTCTTTGTTAAATCTGAAAGTAATTGATCAAACTTGATTTTGAATATCCTAGAAATAACATCTGGTCTATCTTGTGCTTTCAAATGAAGAGGTGTCAATACTCTTTGTATCTCAGGCCAATTTGGGTTGCAAGTAAAAGTTATGAATAAATCGGGGAATCCCATTTTACTACAGATAGCCATGCCATCATAGTACAATTGACCCATAAACCTACGACCGCCAACATAGGAAGATGGCAAAACCACTCTTTTCCCTATGGATGATCCTGGTGTTTGACTTTGATCACCTTCATCATTAAGACTATTGTACTTTGACACCCTGAGTTTTGATTGATTTTTTTGGATCCATTCTAATTCTTCAGACTCTAACATTGTGTAACCATCAACCAAAAATTGTTGGAATAGTCGTCGTGATGATAACAATGTCTTAGCTTCATTAAATCTACTTTGAATTCGAAATGACAACCATTCCCTTATGGTTAGTCTGTTTCTCTTATTGTCTCGGAAGATGCCTAAGTCTCGATGAGCTATGTTAGGCCTATAACCATCTTCTCCATAGGAAAAAATCAAAGGATACTGATAAGCTAAGTAACTTGCATGTAGCTCATTAATCCTTTGTAGTTGCCCTCCTTTTGTTTGCATGATTATGTTCCTCATTTCAGCCGTGTCAATATCACCAACAACTAATGCAGCAACTTCTGACACAGTTGGTTGATTATATATTCAGCCATCTGTTGTTCTATTAGAAATTAACCTCAATTTTAAGTTCTGAGTATTTCCGTCACTTAACCATTGTTTGGCCATCTGAAAACTTTTTGCATGAGGGTTATGTTCATAAAGCATTGTAAACAATTATTGTACAATCAAGGGATCAATGTTTTTGGTGTCCCTAAAAAAGAATAGAAAATGTAATGTTTTAACATTGTATATATGGATATAATATTGAAATTTAAGAAACGTGATGTGAAGGGATATCCTGCATGAATGTGGTAACTTAACGGTAAAATAAATGATGTAGTTTAAACATACCTTAGACCTTGCATTCTATTATAGACCTCGTTTTCAGTGTCATAAATATAAAGTTGGGCAAATTTAGGAGGTTGGCCTTCTAGTGGTAACAAACTTCCAATTCGATGACACGATTGACCTTAAATTCGAAGTGTTGGTGGTCCACCACCATTGTTAAAACGATTATCTAACTTTGCGCCGGGTGATGTGAATGCAAGCATCATGTTGTAAATTCGAATCTGTTGTTGAAACTTCCGGCTAGCTAAACTTTGGTGATCAAACAGGAGACGTGAAAGTATATCAGGAGGTTGTTTTAGTAACAGAAGTTCAACCTTTCCATTCCCACAACATAGCATAAATTTGGGATTAGATGAATGATAACTTTTATTTATCCTCTCTTGATACCACATCATTGCTTGACAATAACGACATTCAATTAAAGGGTCCCCGATATTGTAATACTCTACATAAACCAGGACAGGGTTATAATATTATAAAAAAGTTAAACTTGAGATATGTAATTTAAAAATTCCAAACCTTCTGTTGTTCCTTTGTGATGTTCACAAATAACAAAAGCTACATCTTGATCGTCGAATTCTGAACATATATCATCTTCATAATGATTTGCTACAAAGTATAATGACGTGGTATTAAAATTCTGGAAAAGAGCATTTTGGTTAACATAATAATGCATAAATCAGTCTACTAACTTGCAAAAGGATCAAAGTCGGAATCATCGTCATCGTCAGTATTAAAATCTAGATTGTAGGTTTGTGTAAAAATTGGACACAATGGTTGGACATTAATGGTAGGAACATTTATAGGATTTTGTACATCATGTCCCACTTGTTAGAACACAGATTGGTTCTAAATAATTACTCTTTGTTTTGATGATAACTGTTAGGAAATTTATATTTAAGAATTATATACTCTAAAATTTGCTTAAGAGTTTTACTGCAGATTAAAATTATATTGACTCTCTAGAAGCAAATCTGTCTTTGAATACAAGAAGGTATTCTGAATCTGAAGCGCCAGATGCATCTTACAGAAGAATCTGCTTGCTTCTTACAGAAGATTCTGAGCGTAGTCTCCAGAAGGATCTGAAGAAAGAAGCTCCAGAACATTCTGAGTCAGAAGCATCTGAAGATAGCCAGAAGCATCTGAAGCTGAAGCATCAGAAGTATAGAAGAATATTGATTGAAGAGTTTCTCAAAGCATTGATCTACAGAAGTTTCTGAAAGTACCTACGCTGCCAAGTACTGAAGTTCTGTGTCAAGATGCTCTGATGATCAACACGCTAGAAGCACACAAGCTGCAGAAGACTCTGATACAGCATAGTTCTGAATCTCATCAGAAGACTCTGATCTATTCAAACTCTGAAGAACTTGTTGAAACTGAAGAAGTGTTTTCAAGAATGTATCCGTTGGAATCATTCAACGTCTCTTTCCTTATTTGTGCTAGACACACTTACACAGACAAAAAGGATTTATCTGTGCCATCTATTTCAAGGAAAGGTCAGTACATGTGAAGACAAAAAGGCTCAGACCTTTTGGACTCTCTTTTCAACGTGGAAAATTCAGTTGCCTATAAAAGGAGCCTCTCACTTCATTCTTCAGTTACACACTCTTGAGCTATACACTTGCTGAAAAGAAATCTCATATTCTTAAGCTCTCATTCTTATTCTTCATAGAATCTTTTGTACTTAAATCTTAAGAGAAAAATCACTGTTGTGATTATAGCTTTATAGAAGCATTAAAAACTCTTGTATTTTATTTACATTGTTTATAAAGGAATTTCCTTAAGAGGATTCAGTGTGAATCAGTAGCTCTTGAGAAGACTAAGAACTGTAGTTCTTAGGTGATACTATTGTAATCAGTTTGATTTAATAGTGGATTAAGACCTTGTTGAGAAAGGCAAATCACTCTGGAAGGGTGGACTGGAGTAGTTGTATAACGAACCAGGATAAAAATAATTGTGTGATTTAATTTCAAGTATTAATTTTCCAAACTTATTCAACCCCCCCCCCCCCCCTTCTAAGTTATATCTCACCTTCAGTTGGCATCAGAGCTCCGGTTCTGAGTGTGCTATCACTTAACAGTGTCAGTAAAGATCCAGAGGAGATATACTTTGATCTATATATTTATTTGTTATCATGGCTGATAATTCAATCAACAATAAATATGAAGAGAAGGATAGGATCAGTACCAAACCTCCAATGTTTGATGGAGAAAAATTTGACTATTGGAAAGATAGAATAGAAAGTTTTTTTCTTGGGTATGATGCTGATCTTTGGGATTTGGTCATTGATGGATATGTACATCCTACTGGAGAGGATGGCAAAAAGATTGATAGAAAATCAATGACTGAAGTGCAGAAAAGAGACTTCAAGAATCACCACAAAGCCAGAACTATATTGCTTAATGCAATCTCTCATACTGAGTATGAGAAGATTACTAACAGAGATACTGCTCATGACATGTTTGAATCACTCAAAATGACTCATGAGGGAAACTCCCAGGTTAAAGAGACAAAGGCTCTGGCGCTCATACAGAAGTATGAGGCATTTAAAATGGAAGATTCTGAAAATGTAGAAACTATGTTTTCTAGATTTCAGATTCTTACAGCTGGTCTGAAAGTTCTGGACAAGGGCTACTCAACGTCAGATCATGTCAAGAAAATCATCAGAAGTCTTCCCACCAGATGGAGACCAATGGTGACTGCATTAAAGATGGCAAAAGATCTGAACAAGATCTCCTTAGAAGAACTTATCAGTTCTTTGAGAAGTCATGAAATTGAGCTGGAGGAAGATGAACCCCAGAAGAAAGATAAAGGTAAATCCATAGCTTTAAAATCTAACAAAACTGCTAAAGCTTTGCAGGTTATTCAAGAAAGCTCTGAAGAATCTTCTTCTGAAGAAGAAGATGAGTTGTCCATGCTGTCCAGAAGGATTAACAAACTCTGGAAGCACAAGGGAAAGAAGTTTAACAACTTCAGAAGATCTGACAACAGAAAAGAATCTTCTAGTCACAGAAGATCTGCCAAGAAAGATGTGGTGTGTTATGAGTGCAAAGAACCTGGGCACTACAAGAATGACTGCCCTAAACTTCTGAAAGAAAAACCTAAGAAGAAGTTCAACAAGAAGAAAAAGGTTCTGATGGCAACATGGGATGACTCTGATGAGTGTGAGTCATCTTCTGAATCTGAAGAAGAATGTGCAAACGTTGCATTGATGGCCAGGACAGAGGATCAAGAAGAAGGTACCTCTGGATATGAATCAGAATCTGAATCTGATGATGATGCAGAAGAGGTAATGGCCAAACTTACCAAAGAAGAACTCATTAAAGTTTTAACAGAAGTTCTTAAAAGTTACAACAACATCAAACTCAAATACAAGAAGCTGAAAAGCAATCTTGAATCTGAGATTGATCTTCTGAAAACAGAACTTGTTGAGCAGAAGGAAATAAATTTAAAAATAAAAAATGACTTTGATAGAACTCAACAAGAATCTGATTCTGAAACTAAGTCTTGTGAAAATATTTTAGAAAAATATGACTCTAGTTTTCAGAAGTTTCTCACTAAGAGCATAGACAGAAGCAAGATGGCTTCCATGATCTATGGTGTTAGTGGAAACAACAGAAGAGGCATTGGATATGAGTCTTCATCTGGAAGCAATCCAAAACCTGTTGACAAACTTTTTATCAGTAAGACACCTCTGTACTCTCAATTCAAATTTGGTCATCTGAATGACATTAAACACACAAGCTCTGAGAAGAGTACTTATGTGTTTAAACCAAAGGCAAGTCAGAATAAACACTATGTTGCAAAACAGAAGTTTAGACAAACTTGCAAACCAACTAACCTCAAAGGACCCAAGAAGATCTGGGTACCTAAAGACAGAATAATTCCTGTTGCAGATGTTCTTAGCAGCAAAGTCAGGACACCAATCATGGTACCTGGACTCTGGATGCTCACGACACATGACAGGAGAAAGGTCTATGTTCCAAAGCCTGGAACTTAGATCTGGAGGGGACGTGAAGTTTGGAGGGAACCAGAAGGGCAAGATCATTGGATCTGGCACTATTGGAAATGGTAAGCTTCCCTCTATTACTAATGTTCTGTTAGTTGAAGGATTGAAACATAATCTGCTGTCCATAAGTCAATTAAGTGACAATGGTTATGATATAATCTTTAATCAAAAATGTTGCAAAGCTGTATCTCAAAAGGATGGCTCTATCCTATTCAGTGGAAAGAGGAAACACAACATTTATAAAATTAACCTTTCAGAACTTAAAGTTCAAAATGTAAAATGCCTCTTATCTGTGAATGATGAGCAATGGGTCTGGCACAGAAGATTGGGACATATTAATATGAGACGTATATCTCAGATTAATAAACTCAATCTGGTCAGAGGACTTCCCAAGTTGAAGTTCAACTCAGATGCTCTGTGTGAAGCATGTCAAAGAGGTAAATTTTCAAAATCTCATTTTAAATCAAAAAATGTTATGTCTACCTCCAGACCATTGGAATTACTTCACATTGATCTGTTTGGACCAGTGAAAACTGCATCCATCAGACGCAAGAAGTATGGATTAGTCATTGTAGATGACTACAGCAGATGGACATGGGTAAAGTTTCTAAAACACAAGGAT